ACCAGTATTTTTGCCCCTTCCCAAAATTACTTCAACCGAAGGTTTCCAGATGGATATGCGGAGCAAATCCATCTGGCGGAGTCAGGTTAGGCATACGGCAAGTATGCCAAGATGTCGAGACGCATGCCAGCATACGCTAATACATGGACCATAAGTTACAGGTAAGTTATTTAATCGTTGAAATACGAAACCTACGAGAAAGGTGTGCATAACTTATGTGTAACTTATCAAGAACTTATTTCCAAGGCATATCAACGTATGTGAAGTGTTCCAGACGACCACTGAACATGTTTCTAAATTACAGTTACCGTATAATGGCTTTTATTGGAATCTTTTTGTGCTTTTTACCCCCCCAGGACACTGGCTGGTGACATTTCATGGGTATTACTTTGCCGTGTGTTATGCATAAGTTAGGCTGTCCTTGGACATAAGTTCTGGACTCTATATGAATAGGCTATGTATATGCCAAAAAATTGAAAAAATACATAGAAATTTCAGTGTATGCCAGCATTTTAGGAGATTCTGGGATGTCAGGCATGAACTGGCTAACTCAGCAAGGTGCAACAGGGGCTTTAGCGAGAACATTTTATTTGGTCAATGTGCGCATCAAAAGCCTGTTTTTTTCTTTTTAATGTTTGGCTTGAAGTAAATAGAAGGTGATCTGTAAAATGCAATATTAAAAACCTATAATACATAGCACTAAATCTGAAAAAGAAAATTTAAAAAGCATAAATCTTGAAATGTACAATCTAGTACAGAAAACTTTAAATAAAGTTTGAAAAAATGAAATATGAAAAACAAAAATGTTTTACAAAATCTAAGAAAACAGCTAAATTACTTTCAAAACCCTTTTCTGATCATTTTTTTTAAAATAAATTTTCATTTATCGATTGCATTTTCATTCTTCCATTTACAAAATGCGTTCTTTCCTTGCAATAATAAAGGAACAAAAGTCACACCGTAAACATGAACCGGAGATTTCCGCTTGCACATGCACATAATTGACATAACTGAATTTCCGTCTGCAGACTCTGATAGATAGACATTGCAGAAGAAGAGGGAACACAGGATTCTTAAATTACAAAAACATCATAAGTCAAAGGTTCAAAAGCTGTAAATACCTTTGCAAAGCACTGCAACCCCTAACCTTGAAATGACCTAACATAAAATAAAAGCCACAGCTGGATTTAATAGTTCTGGACGACCCCACAGCCATTAAAAAAGGGACAGCTTTACCATGTTTATGCTCACCAGCACAGCAGCTGTGGATTAGGGAGGACTTGCTCCAGCTGGTTATAGTTGCTGATGACAAAGGTGAGGATTGGTTGAGTTGGGTGACAAGCAAAATGCCTGGTTATACCTGCAGGGAAGGAGAGCACCATCTCCCCTGTGATTTTCACCGCACATCTGCAGCAAACAGACAGAAGTGGGAGTGAGAAGCAAACACTTCTAGACATACAAGCTAAACTGCAAAAGCTTTTACCTAATATACACTGCTTAAAAAAAGACCACTAAAATTAACACTCTAGATCTCAATGAACGAATGAAATAATTCTGGTGAAAACCTTTATCACACAGTGGAAAATAAAGCATAAGGATCAAGGTAAATTAAGATTATCCCACAGAGGTCTGGATTTAGAATCATACTCAGAATAAAGCTGGAAAACAACATTACTGGCTGATTCAGTTTCACCAGATATTTCTTAAGGCAAGTCAAAATTTGGCTTGGTGGTGTGCAAAGATTTCTTCTGGGGAATCTCTTCCAAGCCCTAAATTAAACGGTTAACAGATGTTAACCTGGAAAGTCTGTCTAGGCCAATAGAATGAGACAATGTCCTAGATGTGCTAAGCTGGTTTCAAGTCTGGGGAACAACTCTGTCCTTGGCATCAATTTGGTCATGTCAATCTGTCACATGCTCAGTGTAAACCTGCTTTTATGCTCCAAGAAGAGCACACGCAGCAAAAGGTAAAATCTGCCATTCTTGGTGTTTACTGGAGAATTTCAACCACTCTGCCATTGTTGGGCAGTGAGGAAAGGTCCCACTTGTGGATGTTAGGGTTGTCATACCACTCTGAAATCCGTTTTACGCTGCTAATTGGTCAAAAAAAAAAAAAAAAAGGATTTGAAATCTGAAAATTAAACCAGCCATTTTTCTTTATTCTTTGAGATGGCCCAGCTTTTCATATAAAACTTTTGTAATTGTGCACAGTAGAATGCAGGCACCACACATGTCCTGCACAGTTTCTGGGTTGATTCAATTTTGCTTGGTCACACTGATGCGCCATCTTAGGTGAGTCTTCTTCATTTCAGCCAGTGGCAACATGGCGGCGACAAAACAGACAGGGGTGGCGTACTAGCTTAGCCTCGTGAGATCATCCGCGAGCTTTCAAGGTTTCACTCGCAGATCAGTCTGGCTACTCTCCGGTAAAGAAAATTTGAGCAGTTCACCAAACGAACGTCCAATCAGTGTTGGCTTTGAGGCAGGTTGAGGTGTGATGCAACGAGAAGCGCAACAGTTCAGTCTAAAGAACATGGCGGCTTCAGCCGATGAAACTAGCGTTAGCGTGGCTATTGAGCAAGTTTTATCGGAATTACAGAGTATTTCTTCACTGAAAGAAGAGCAAAACACTGCTCTGGAGGCTTTTCTCAGAGGAAAAGATGTT